TTTATGCATCTCGGCATTTTTATGCATCTCGTTGACCGTGATTCACAACTCGAACGAGAACTACTTGCTCCCAACCACTCGAGCTTGCAGTAGATCTAAATTTTGATACGTGCAGAATCTTATCAGCCTCTTCTCTCATCACAACAATTCAGCACCGTCAATCTGAATTTTGCCTATGCCGTGATCCTCCGATCTGACTCTCCATCTGAATTCAGTCCCGAAATCCCGCCAAAACGATGCTGCGAACTTTTCAAATATCTGCCCTGAAGGTCACTTGTTGTCGAAGGTGCTCTATCGAGAAGAAAACACTTCGATAAAGGAAAACGATTCCTGAGAGAACGGAGCTGCCGCATTCATACGAAGAAGTCGAGCTGCGCTCTCTCTCCTGCGATTCGCTTTCCGACCATTGATTTCACCTGGTCGCGATCTAGCCAAGAAGGCTTCAGGCGTGTTACAACATCCCTGGGACGACCGGGACGTCACATTGGTTTCGGATGAGTATGAAGACCTTCAGTCCGGCTCCATCATTGCGGACAGCTCTCCCGCCGCTCCGGAATTGCCAGAAACTTCCGTCTCCTCGGGAATAGGCGAGTAGCGTCAAGTCTGTCCTTCTCGATACTGGAACAGTCTATCTCTGAGCGAGAGCGACGTCAAGAGAAACGCGAACACGGACTCCGTGAATGCAAATGGGAGCCAGGGATATCGGAAGTCTACGATGGAAGTCTCCAAGATTCCCACGAATGAGATGTTCCCCGTTATTCCGACGTCGGACGAGACCGTCGGGTCAAGAATAGAGACGCAAATGATTCTAGATCAATTTTCTGCACGCCACTGCCGAATATCCCTGAGGAGATTGCGGGGGTATGACTCCTCGAGAGCTCGTCCACGACTGCCGGCCGGTCCTGCCCAAATCGAGTTTCATTAGCGGGCTCGAGTCGAGTCTGACTATAAATGAGTATCTGACCGCCTAGCTCAATTTGGGGATGGCCGGCTTCCAGCGGAATATTTGCGCTGGTGCCGCGAGGATACTCGAGGCGGTTCGCGCCGACTTCAAGAGAATATCTGCGAGGCTTCTTCTCGCTGATTTTGTCTGGGGGCGTCACAGCGTGGTCGAACGCATTTCGAGGTATTTATCCAAGCCCAGAACCTCGGCGTGAGGATATATCAAGATGCAACCGAGCGTTAATGCCGGACATTCCTTGCATCACGCCCATCGGACCTACCGAAAACCTTGAACACAGTCGGCAAGTGGTACTCCTCGGTTCGTGAAACAGGTACGGGCACCTGTGCGCCCGAAAACCTCATCCTAGAAGAAAATAAGCTTCGGAGCTGTCCAGGCTACTGGAGAGACGTTCTTTGGAGGATCAGCTGCGCAAGGTGCCGGATTGCATTCGTGATTCGTTCGAACCTGAGGTCCTTAGGCTCGAAATCGTGGAGGAAGTCAGCCGTGTCTGAGTTAGCTTGGTGGTGATGAACCCCCCCGGAGCTCGGAACTCTGGTGAATCAGGGGGGAAAAGAGCATTGTCCAAAACTATTTTCCGCATTACTGAAGACTCCTGGCCCATGTCGCGGCCTTTCGGAACATCCCAGGGATGTCTGGATCCTCAAATAGTCTGTGGAAGTACATGGGGCTAATTGCAAGAATATTAGGCCCAATCGACCTTGATATCAAGAAAATCCCCTATTAGAATGTTATTGCGGTTCTATGTTGACGGTCCGGATTTTGTTGTCCGTCTCTTGCCTCGGCCACATTTACCTGGAAATCAGAATGCGACACGCTCCAGCGCTCCCCAGAAAAAACAGAAGGAATGAGTCGATCCGTCAGCCAACGGTTCCTCAGCTTGTCAAACTCGATGACTGCACCGTTGATTATCTCCCTTACGTAAGGATTCTGTCGAGTGCTTCCGACTTCTGTTCCGAGTATTGAGGGAGCGTTGTTGGCAATGCAAGGAGACGTTGTCATCGGTCCTCAGTTTCCTCGAATATTGATGATAACTTGGCCACAAAAATTCATCTACCGATATCTTTCCAGAAGCTAAGATGCTGTTCGTGGACCAGGCTCAAATAGAGCTCACTCTGCTTTCAATTCCTGCTCCTCGATTCATGTTGGGGTCCACCCACCTCGATCCGTCTTCTTTTCGGACAGAAAATCGGCGGCAACCAAGCCAGCCGTCCTGATCTCGATGTCGGGCAGCAGTCGACAAGGGGAGCGTCCGACTGCGTTTCCAGAAGACTTTCTTCTGCAAGTGATTTTAGTTGAACAACCGATTTAGAAGAAGGTGTCTTTGGAAAATCAATACCGATTCCGCATCAGATTCCCTCTGATCCGCGCTTGCTCAGGTCTACCAACGGTCCTTTCTCGAACGGGATTTCCGCGGCGATTATCAATCTTCTCCGGGAACGGTCGGGAAGTGATTATTCACTCGGCATGAAATCTTGCGCGAAGCTTTCACCGTTAGCGGTGCCGGACTACTCACTCCAATCGGAGAGAGCAGCGCGTGAAATTCCCTGATGCAGCTTCCCATGCGGCGGCTACCTTCCCTCCAGGCGTACGGGGGAGAACGCAACCCCTCGAAGCAGAGGCATCTCGCCCGCGAGCATATCTCTCCGTCGAAAGTGAAGTCCAGAGCATGAAATCGGATTCCGGTGAAAGCATCCCACCAGAAAATAGAATGCAATCTGATCCGAAGCATTATCGATAAGCCTGCCGCATAACCGATGCGGCGAGCGATGGCCGACGACGACGATTGAAAATGCCACTCATTTCTGCGTCCGTTGTTGTGGTCATCAGGGCAGTTCATATTCATACTCATTGTCGAATCATCGATGATAATTATTATCTGGATTCCGTGACGTCACGACTGATCAGATGGGACAGAAAACGGCGAAGCAGGCGATCGCTACAATAAGCGACGTCGACGTTGGTGTCGTAGATGGGATGTAATCAGGTGACGTCACGAGGCATCGGCTTTCGCGTTTTCTGATCATGGCCCTCCGCAGTCGTTCAACTCGTGCATTTTCTGTCCCTCCGTCCGACTGCCTGGCCGCTGACCGGCGTCGCTTCGACGGCCGGTGCATACGACAGCGGCTCGGCGCAAAGTTCGGAACTCGCGATCGTTGCCCACAACGGTCCTCATAATTGTTAATCTAACCGAAAAGAGAATCATCTTTTCTGTGCTTTTGGATAGGCGCAATCACGAGCAACAGCGGTGTTCTTTTTCGCAGCAGGCGCGCGGCGGCGGCGCCTCAGCTCTCCCTCTCCCTGCGCGGAGCCTGTACAACCCCATCTGGGATTTTCTTTCTGGCTTCAGAGCCGAATGACGAATTTTCGGGAGAAATCCCGGTGCTTCCGTCACCTGTGATCCATGGTAGATAAATGTATGGGTGTCAGAGTCTTTCACGGGGGTTTTTCCTTCCGAGTCTCAGCTGTACTACGATACAAGATCCAGATCTCGATTCGGGGTTCGAAACTGGCAAGCTTGGACTTTTTCTTCGAGCGTCACGTGATGATTTAAGCAAACACCTTTCTCTCATGTCATCCACGCTCATTCTATCAACATAGGGAGAAGAGCATTCTCGCCGTCCCGAGAGCCTAAAAGAGCACTTCCCGGGATTGCTCCAGATCGGAACGCAACTTCCCGAAATCCCGGAAACCCAGTCGCGTCGGACTCGCCGACCGCTAGGTCAAGGTACTTGAGGCCAAGGGAGTTCCCTTCGAGTCTAGCTCGAGAAGCATTCGTGAGTCAACCCAAAACCGACAAGTCACCTTCTTAAACTCGAAGACTTGTAGGCAGAAGAGAATGAGGGCTCTGTTGGACCTCGGAGATCTCCGATCATGACATCCGGGCAATTCTTCCCAAACCAGGGGGCGGTGCCCCCCCACGGAGCAAACTTTTTGAGGGGAGGGGTTTCGGTGTGACGATTCCAGTGGGGAGACTCGAGAAGCTTCTCTTCTTCATCCGAGTGAATCCAACAAGATGAAAAATGCGTGTCCTCGCATGGTCACATATGCGGAACAATTTCGAGAACGTCGTCCGAGCTCGATCCATCTTAGAGTTCCAAGCTCAGGATTGTGATCACTCCTCCTGAATTATAGTTTCAACCGTGATTCACGCGGAGGTGAGAGGGAAAAAGGGGATGACAGCGTTGTAAGATCCGGTCCCAGACAGGGAGGCGCGAGCCCGCAAAGTCCGGGAACCACTAATCCAGGAATATGATTAAGATGGGAATCGTGTCGGTCGATGGAGCTAAGAATCCCACTGACCATCGTCGGTGTACTATGAGCAGAGATAGACTTTCGCCGTTGACGAAACAAATCGTCTGATCATTAGCATTAGGAAGCAGAGACAAGCGCGAAGGGATATCAGGGACCGAAGATCAATGGGATTTTTATCGTCATGCGAAATCCGCCCGATCGAATGTCGTCAGCTCCACGACCAAAACAAGCCATTCTCTTTTGTCACGACTTCCGTCGCCATACCTCTAGTCTAGGTAAACTCAGTGAGGATTGCATCGATTTACCATGGTCATCCCAGAATCTGTATCTGCGGTATCCGTTCGAGGGATGAGAATGGAACGAACCCTCGGAAACGTTGTGTGTATGTTCACACGAAATTCGAGCCAATGCAACGATTGGCTCCGAACACTGACGGCATGTACCCTCGGTCTCTTCTGCAGAGCGGGAACCAACGCTCGAGGCATTCTTTTCGGGCGAATTTCCCCATACGTAGCCGGGAGCTAGATACGGGAGTTTTTTCTGCGTGAATCTTGAGTTTTGTGCTCCAACGCTCACGGTTGCTCGGACTGACGCGGTGTCTGAGTCGCTGTTCTGTCCTCGTCATCCTTCCGTTTATTTTCCAAACGACTTGACTTTGGCATCCTTATCGTCGTGGTAGTACTTCCGACGCCATCGACGACGCCCGCCGGGAGAGACCCCAGAAGTCTCCTTTCCCACTCCGAACGCTTAGAGCCGGATCGCGCGGAGCTCTACTCAGAGTTTATTCGAAATGCAATTGTATTGGGTGTTTTCTCTCGTCGGTCTCCTCGGATATACGGCCCTCGGGGTCAGTGCGCAGGAGGCCTCGGAATTCGGTGACGATGCAAGTGGTGGTCAAACGAAACAGCAGGCTCAGGACGAAGAGCGCTATCCGACGACAACTGAAGTTCAGAGCACAACCCGGGATCTCTTGGACGATCTTGAGCCGATTTTCAAAGACATACAGAGAAAGGTCTATCCTGCAGTCAGTGAGCTACTCGCGGATGAGAACATTTCCAGCGAATGCACGACGTCCATCTTGGCCACGCTCAACGGCGTCAGGAACCAGAAGAAATGGGCCCTCATGAGTGAGTACTATCTGAAATTTCCGCGATTGGAAGCTGAACACAAATTTAAGAGGGCTGAGGATTCCAAGGGAGGACGGTTATTCAGCCTGAAAGTCGGTGTCAGTGAGCTCAGGCTCGGTGCTGGTGTTCTGAGTGGGCGTCGATGCGGAAAGATCCGCGGGCTTTTTTGCGAACGGTTTTTGATGCACATTCCTGGAGCGAACATCGAGCTTGGACCCTTGGAGCGTTTTCTCTCTTCTTCTTCTGCTCTCTCTTTTTCTTTTTTGGCTCGTGATGGGCAGCAGCATGAATCGATCAAAGCCCAATGACACCGCCGACATCATCTCGTTCATTGACTTTGCGCAAATGACTTTCGTCCAGCGGAGCGGAACAACAGAATAGCGAATTCTGTGGCAATATTCGAGCATTTTCTCGAGTGACTTCACTTCGCAAGGGTTTCCGACATGAATAGCATCGAGGTTTCTCGGAAGCTCGACACTTGCACTCGGGAAAGACTCGATCTATTCTCCCAAGCATAAATCGCGAGGAGAATCGTATCAGCGGCAAAATGCTGACCACGTCGAATCAGGGCCGCGTGAATATGAAAATAATTGTTGTACATTGATCGATTCTACCGACATCTCCATGACGTGATCGCTATGATTATCTGAGCTCCCCGGCGAGTGACAGACGACCGATCTCGACTGGATTACCCCAATATGGACCTGACGGGACGTGACAGAGGAAATTCCAAGAGACTGCTGCTTTTCTCGAGAACAATTGGGCACCGGCCTAATTTTTCCTGGTGGGTTGGAGCGAAAGACCGCTGCCTAATTGACGGGTTGATTTTTCGGATGGCACTCCGTCGTCGGATCGAGCCCGGACAACGAGAACCGGACGGAAACACAGTCTCCTGACAAATCAATGGTTGCAAGCAGTCCATTCCGAGAGCGTGTACGGTGGGATCTGGAAATATTCCAAGCGAAGTTTGTCGAGTCAATTGGGAAAGTTCCACCTCGGAAACATCATTGTCGACAATCCTCTGGGTGAGATTAGAGCGGATCTCTGGATGATATCCGACTACCGTGTATCCGATTCGGCTCGATCGCCAACCGCTGATGCACAGAATGGCTGTACAATTTGACAGAGCGATGTCGTCCTTTTTCTTGAGATGTTTCGTAACCTAGATCCTCGCTTTCAGCGAGACACGATACGATCTATTGTTCATTTCCTTGGTATTTGGAGTCCATGCGGAAAGATTAATCGATCCTCGTAAGGAACTACGTACAAACACAAATCGAATTTTCAGTTGCAACTGCCAGCGGAACAATACCGCAGAACTTGTTTCTCGGAGCCCAAGGCTCTCACGGATCCTACGATCAATGCCTGGCGGCAAAGAGGACAAACCACAACGGCGAGATAGACTTAAGAGGTCAATATTGTACGCTGTTGCTGTATCCAACGCAGAAAATGTTTGAAAGTCTCAAGGAATTCATGAAGGACGATCCATTCTTCAAGGTGAGCAATCGAGCGATCCCTTGAAGATAGATCAGAAATATTCAAAAGCAAAAGACGCAGATCATCCCTCGCGAATTCGAGAGCACGAAAAGTCCCTCAGAGCCGGAGTTACTTGGTCGTCAGTCGTCACCAATCCACAAAGTGGACTTCTCCGGGGCGAAGATTGAGCGGCGTTCCTGCGAGTCGAAAGAATTTGCTTTCGGAGAGGAGACCAGATTCATGAGACAGAAACGAGAAGAAGGGATAATCCTAGACGAACGATAAACAAACAAACGCTCTCTCATCGGAGTCTTGAATTGAATTCAGAACTGGTTCTTTGAACATTGAAATATCACTGGGATTATTCAGCCCCATTGTTATTCAAGCCTTCCGAAACGAGCGTCACGTCTGAGGAAACAGAGGAGAACAAGAGATATTGATTGAACGAATATATGTATGCCAAAGCTCTTTCGTGGTTTTCAGTAGACTCCTTCATGGCGCTTAGCGATTTCCGGATCCTAACGGGGAGTTTCATCTCGAGACGGAATGACACTGTCGGCATCGAGAGTCTAACTATCACTGCAATTCCACAGCAAACGTTCAACAAAATGGCCGAATGGCCGAGAGAATACTTCGGCATAGCGACCGGCATCAAGATTGGAGTGTGCACGCCTGATCATTGCTCGGACGATGACCTCAACTATGCAATCGACAAATGTGAGAAATGGACAACCTTATTCGGGGAAAAATCACGTATTCGCGGCGCGCCGAATTTTCCTTCTTGGAAACTGCCGTTGCTTGTCAATCATTTTCTGGAACTTTACATCGGAACGCGATTCCGCACGGTCAGAAGACTTGCCATCCAATTACGTAAAACTGCTCAGAAGCGGACGAGTGTTCGATCGGCTTTCTTCTTTCCGGCGACGATTACGGGGCGGCGTCGTGAATTTTTCTCACGTGTTTTTTCTATCGCAATACCGAATTTTCCTGCTCCTGTTTCCAGTGTTCAATAGAGTTTACGGGATCGAGACGAGATTCGTATCCTGCCGGATAAGAGAAGCGAAGGTCCCGACCACATTCCAGCGAATCGTGATGTAAGTGATGTCCTCTGAACGAGTTCGGTGGGTCGCATCGCGTGCTTAAGCGAGTGTATAAACGAGTGAATGGTTTCATCCGTGTGCGTGTGCTACTATTTACAGAATCACGAAGAAGGTTGGGCTGTGATTTGTGAGCTTGTCGTTCATGTTGTCGCTTGTGATGCGAGAATGGATGGGCTGGTGCTTCTCTTTGGGCTCCTCCGATCTTCTCCTCAACGTGTTTCCGTTCCAGTGCCTCCGGTTTCGTGTTGCTGGCCCTGGTTTTATTGGGCACGGCCACCGATTTCTACCTGAATCGCGTACGAGATGAACCTCAATGTAAGTTTCGTTGACTGGGTCCCGATTCGGAAGCCCAGTTCTGGCGGCGAACTCGAAGCAGGAAGCCTGACTCACAAGCTGCCGCTAGCCCCCTTCCGAGTCTTTCGGCTTGAGCGGCCGCTTGTTTACGTCATCCTTTCCTGCTCTGAGTTCTTCTGCCATCATTATCCATGCTCCAACATGCCGCGCTCGGACGGAAGAAGTGCTACGGCTCCATTTAGTTGAGGAGTCATCAAGAAGGGAGAACGCTCGTTGACTTGTTTTCGTCTCGGTACCCTCATGGAAGAACGACGCAAGTCGAGAACACCACAGAGAGAACCATGACAGAAAAACGAAGAAAACATGCAAAAGCTGAGGCGGTCGCCCGTATCGAGTGCTTCTTGAAATTAAAGAAATCTTCGCGATCTTTCTTCAGCGGACTGTCTCCAGCGGGAAGTTATCCCCTCTGTTCGCGCTTCATGCGTCAGGCAGTGAAGAAATCAGTACCTCCAGAAAGTCGGAATTGAATTCTACGAGACCCGTAATTTTCTTTCCGCATTCTCGCAGATATCAGCCCATGGCTCATCATAACATTCGTGATGATGTACTCCGCACGCCGAAACGTCCGTCGTCTCTTCACACCGTATACGCCTCAGACGAAAGAACTCGGATTTTTGAACGGTATCAAAGTTTTGTTGTCGTGTTGGGTCGTTTACGGCCACAATGCTATCTTCGTCAGCCCCGACATCCTCCGTAAGTGATCGGATCGCAGAAGAAAGACGCAAGAAAAATGTCGATTCGAGTTGAAGAAATTCCTGTGCTCAATTCCACGCAACTGGCAGCTGATGCTTTCATCATGCTTCCGCAGTTAACATCACGGACTACGTGGAACTATTGAAGAATGTTCCCTTCCAAATCATTACCAACAGCTTCATGGCGGTTTCGAGCTTCTTCTTCATCAGGTGAATTGAGGGAGGAACTTGTTACTTCATAAACTCCTCTCACGTCAGAGCGGAGATGCGATAGAATAATAATATCGGGATCGAGGGCAGGAAAGTATTTCCCCTCGGAAGATTCGAACTGGATTCTGGGATACAGTCATCGAAGATTCTCGAGATGAGCCTCCGACGCCGGAGATCGACTTCAGATCGTCGTCCGACCATCGCCGAGCGACGTCTCTGATGGTTTTCTTTCTTTTTCCTCCTTAGTGGTTTCCTGCTGGCGTATCTTTGTTTCAAGGAGAAAAAACGAATCGTCAAGCAAAATCCCGCGCTCCTGATTTCCATCATGTTTGTCCGTCGGTACTTCCGACTCGTGATACCTCTACTGGTGGTCGTATGCTACTCGTTGCTCATGGATTTGTGGGCGGATGGTCCCAACGACCGGGATTCCATTTTCAATCTATACGCTCGAAGCTGTCCGAGAAACTGGTGGTCGATTCCAACCTTGACATCGAACTACATGGGTGCCGACAACATGGTCAGTTGCGGGATATCCTCACTAATAGACTTCTGAATCTCGATTTCGGAAATGCTGCAACCGCCAATTAGTCTCTCGTCACGCGTTGGTGACGTACGATGACGTAGGCGGTCTTCGCGGCGTAAAATAATCGCTCTCTTCATTAGCTCAAGATAATTGTGCCCTAACCGAAATTTACCGGAATTACAGTGCCTGGGCCATAGCTGGTATGTCGCAGTCGACATGCAGGTGTTCGTGCTGGCCGCGATTCTAGTCATGCTAATATTGTTCCATCCGAGAGCCGGGATTTTCCTCACGACGGCTCTGATATTGATAACCTCCGCTTGGGTAGCCCTGTCAACGTACCTCTATGGATACAGTCCGATTATAAGTTTCACCGGCAGTCTTCCAGAGTGAGTTACAATCATCATTCCGGTAATCCTCATTGAATATTCCCCTTCGAATTCCTCAAGCGGTCGGGCGATAGATTGGATTTCGCTAGCGCTGAACGACGTTTCGGAGGAGCCGAACACGGATCGAGAAAGCTGCTCAAAATCGGATGCTCGATTCTTGTGGGGATGACAGAATCGGAACCATCCCAAGGTCGAACGCGATATAACACGTAAACGTGCGTCATTAGTGGCCCTCCCTAAAGTAGACTTTGTTCCAGGGTGCTCGCGGCGACGTTTGACTACGTGTATGCTCAACCCGTTACACATGCCGGTTGTTATTTACTTGGGATTCTCTGCGCATATGTGTGCTTCTACAAAGGGACCAAACTGGAATGGGTGGGTTTCCCCCTCTGAGTTGACCCGTTTCATCTTGCACTCAATAGCCCGGGAAATCCCCACGAGAGCCCGTCTCTAGGAGATAGAATTCGATTATACACAGGATTTAATCGATTCTTACGTCGCAGTATACGCAAACGGCGATGTGGATCCTGGCTCATGGTTGCTCATCCTACGTGGTATTCGTGACTGTCTTCTGGTATCGCCATGGAATGCCGGGGCCTCTGGGGGGCTCCTTGTACGCTGGATTCCACCGAGTCACTTTCACTCTCGGACTCTTCTGGCTCATATACGCTTGTTTACATGGAATGGCTCGTAAGTGGCGATTCCTTGATAGATATGGTCTTCTAACGCGCTCATGATCCATGAGTCATGAGTAGGGCTGTGCATCACGCATAATGCATATTTTTATGCATACTGCATATTTCGCCGATTTCTGAGTTTTCGTGAATTTTTATATAATTCCGTCTTATGAGCTCCCATATATGAGTTTTCAATCTCAAGTCGACAGCATGTCGACTTCTCCTCACGAGCCAGGAAAACTTTTTCGGGCTGGACCACACAGCCGAAGTTTAATCGCAGTCCCGGGTGCTGCTGTTCACATTGCTCCCGAGGACGGATCCATAGAGCAAATGTACCCAGGAGGATCAAGGCCGAGTACCTGCCTTTCCGTAAGGAATATTTTGTCGGCAACAGGGATCGAACCCACGCCACCTCCCGATCGAGCGGCGACGTTGCGGCATTTCACGAAGTGGAACGCACGTTTGCACGAGAAGTGACAAACGCGCTAACCACTCGAGCACCCGTCGGTTCTCACGAGCCAGAGCAAAATCTGTCGAAAACCCTCCTGATGAAGTACGTTCAGATGATTCCAGGGTGCCTCAGCTCTGACTACCGATGTTGGTAGGCGGCGTGCAACCGTCGACGCCGTGCAACCTCTGACTTGAGATGTAGACTGCCGCCAAACATTCGAGAGAGCTCAGTTGGCTCTGGTACCATGCGAAGAGGAGCGTTCTTTCCCGCGGTATAGGGCGATAGTGCTAGACAACGGGAACTCATTCCTCTTTGAAAAACTAAAGAAATCGGTCGTGGTTGCTTGTAACAAGGATCTCTTATAAAAAAATCCGTGCATATTTTCATGCATATTTGGCCGTATTTTTCGTGCATACTGCATGCATATTTTCGAGTTTTTGGTGCATATTTTGCACAGCCCTAGTCATGAGTCATGAGTCATGACTCGAGATGATATGAACAGCAGAAAGCGTCCGATAGCGGGCCGACGCTCAAACTATCTGGCCCGAGTCATTGAACTTCCGAATGTTGAGTTTTCTCAAAAAAAAAAAGGAGGGTCAATTGGAATGTTGAGTTCGCTGATTCTAACCGGGAGTCGATCGGAACGTTGCGCGGCTCCTTTCACGGAGAATGGGGGATACTGGAACCTCGATTCATGGTATCCGGAGCTCATCAGGAAACAAGCTCTCGGATTCCAATTTTCACGTCCTGAGACCTCAAGGGGTCATTCGAGGGAGCCTTATCTTAGGGAGAAAATCAAGGGGAACAAAGAGAACATCTCCCCTGGAGCTCGGCACAAGCCATCGAGGAGCAAAAGGTCGAGGAGAGGCTTCCGCCCTGGTCTGACGCCGTCCTTTCTTGCAGCATACACGAGACGTATCTTGGAACATTCAGCTTTTCGAGCTCTCGGAAGATTGGCCTTCGGAATCTATCTTGTGCATTTCGCTGTCGTTTTCATGCATCAGGGCCTTCTGAAAAATCAGGCTTTCTACCCGGACCAGTTTCTACTTGTGAGTTTCTCTCCTTTTTTTCCGATGTTCCTATATTGATTTTCCACTGTGGGAATTCGGCGACCTTTATTGATGTTTCTTGCATTAAAGCATTGAAAGGAGCCCTGTTCTGAATGAGCGATGTATCCGCCTCGCTGCGAAACATGCTCACCCCTTTTCAATCCATCGATCATCCTGCCATCGGTGGAAGTTTAAATGTTGGGATCTATTTCCAGTTGCAATCAACCTTGGGGATTCTAGGAATCAGTGTCGGCTTAGCTTTCCTTATGAACATCGCCGTGGAATCCCCAGTCGCTCACATGGACAATTTCCTATTCAAGAAGGTCATGGGGAAACTGATCGGAGAGCCCCAGAACGCCAAAGAGGCTGAAGTGAGTTTTCTTGAGAAAAAAATTTCTCTCACTTAATCCTCGCTAAAAACTCCTCTCATCTAATGCTCGCTCCGCAGATGATCGGACGCAAAGCGGAGGTCGCGCTGACTCTGGAGCAACACTATGATCACTGGCGGAGGACCTCTTCGAAAAAAGATCGGGATTGCAACGGCTTGAGCGACCGGAACGGGACCATCATCGACATAAAAGAACAGCTGCCGACGAAAGTCTTATCCGACAAAACGAGACTCTAAATCTAGTCTTCACAGCCAATGCCACCTGGGAAGCCGAAGCAACGAGCGTCGCGCTCTCCAGGACTCCCTCATCGTTGTCATCAAGGATATGACCATCTTTTAGAGCATTCCTATGTAAAAAAACATCTACCTAGGCGAAAGTGTAAGATAAAAAAAACGCGCATGAGCGCGATTTCCCCCCTAATCCAGGTTTTTCATTTCCCGAACTTCAAGCCTCATGTCTCGCATATGGTCAATCCGGGCTCTGAAACGCCCCTTGAGTTCTCTTTCGTACTTTCTCGGACGGAAGTCGGCACCTCTTGAACTCCTGAGACTCAATCTAGGGTCTGTTCAGTCGATTATGCTTCCTAAACCTCACACTCAGGACGCAAGCATGATTAAAATGTCAAACACTTTGTCAAGTGCCCGCACGTGCCTATAGGACGCGCATCAGCGGCAGCTCTCGATTAAGTCCAGAGAGATTATTTTTGAATTTGTGAGTCTATTCTGAAAGTGCAAAAACATTAGGTAGCTACATGATTCAGCGGCGGAAAGCTACGGCTACGCATGTGCTGTTGCAAAATTCGGCCACAGCCTGCCTACGTGCCTGCCCGTGCCCGTGCAACACCTCGGAACAACGTGTTGTGTCATGGTGATATTTACCAGCGGTGGAGAGAGTCATTGGACCCTATCAATCACTCACGAATCACGACAGCCTGCTCTTGAGGGAGTAGGATCCCGATGCGTCCCGGGAATGTCAAGAATGTTCAAGCGAAATGGCGATCGTCTCACCCTACGTGACGAATTCGGGAGCAGACGGAGGTCGAGACTTCGCAACGAGTTCGGACAGCGAATTCATCCTCGGAAATGAGGGGAGGGGCAGGAACATTGCTGTGGAAAACTCCTGCTCAATACTGGGAGGCAGAGAGACAGCTTCTCATTATCTGACTAGCGAGCGACTCCCCTGGAAGAGCCCTCCCAGAGATATCGATGAATGATGGCTCGTTAAGTGGATCGGTGGGCAGGTAGCAGAGATCGAATCTTGGCTCTGGAGATGATGTCGCGCTCAAGTCTTTGTGGAGCTGACATCAGAAGATTGCGTCATTGTTAGAAGGTGGCCCCCCTCCCTCCTCCATGGAGTCATCCGCGGGAGAGGATGGGACGGAATCGGGGACGAGTACAGTTCCGGGGGGCCAACGAGACGTGTTGCAGTCTTTAGGCCTGTTTTTTCCCCGTTCGGTGTGAGCTCTTGGACAAGACTCTCAGGGTCCTAAAAGCTCTCGGCAAAAGCTCTCGAGCCTAGACGACAGGGATGGGACAACACCACTTACAGCAAGCCTCGCATAACTCGTGCGATCCGGCCGCCAGCGGAGGCTTTCGAGCAAGCGACATCAGGTCAACAAAGTCGGCTCTATCAGGTTTACAATCATTCATTCTTAGGCCTCTTTAGACGCTTCTTAGTTTTTGCCCTGGCACAAGCCCTGTGTTTCCACCGGACTCCCCCGACCCGATTGCCCGAAACCACCCGATTGCCTCTCCCTGAGCAAACAGAGCGCGCGCTCCGAGTTTCGGGGGCCAGGGGGAGAGGGTCCTTATTTGATTTTTCGAGTTTGTACTCACAGCTCTTGTCGTTCGCTCTCGAGCGAATTCTCGTAGAGGATGAATCTCTCGCTGGCACGGTGAACTGGCTCATCTGTTTTCGGGATGCAAGCTGCCCCACAGGCCATCCCCGTCCTCCGCGGGTCACGGTGTCTGATTATCTCACACATTGTAGTTGCGAAAAATATTTCTGCTCGCGGGTCCCAACTATCGATACCGAATTCTGGTACTCCGATTTCCCAGCTCTCAGGGAACACGCCGGGCTATCGCGGGTTACGAATAATAGGTTCTCCTTCCATCCTTCCCCCTCATCCGATCTCTTCGATCTCAGCGGCATCGGGAGAAGGAAACTTTGTCTCGACCGATTGATGGATCCGTGTCTGATAGCCTACCGAAACTCGAGCCCGTAATCGTCGTCCTGCTGGCGTCTCCCAGCCTCTAAGCTAAGCTATCGATAGTCCCGATATCACTATCGAGAGTCCTAGTCTCGTCCGCGCCGCTGACAAATGGTCGAGTCGCGAGTCGCGACAGTCTATTCAGAAACACGTGTTATGCTACAGCGTCAGGCGAGAGCGTTTTCATTCTATGAACGAGAATCAGAGAAATATAGTCATTACCGGAAACGTTCCGAAGAAAGCTTCAGAAACGCTGGCACCACTCGATCGGTTGAGTTGTTGGCCGCTGCCTCTGGTTCGATGTACGACAAATCCGAGGCGTTCAAGGAAGGATCTCGCAGGTCAGTCGAGCGCATCCAAGAGGCAACAGACAACAACTTCATCCATGCAGTTGGTGTTCTTGCCTCAGCAGTCACCGTCCACCTCGGCTCCCCTCTTGGGCCGACACCGCACCTGATGCCTCAAATCATACCGATCCCCAGAGCTTTTTATCCTGTTCCTCCTATTATGGAGTCCCGCAGTCGTCCGTCCTCCCTGATTTTCTCTCGCTACCGTCGTCGACACGGCGTCCACCCGCGAGTGGACCACCGGCCCGACAGCGGAGGAAGCTTTGTACATCTTCAATAATGCCATGTTTCGCTCCGTCGAACGCATGTCGAACGCTCGATCAGGAATCAGCTGACTCTGCTACCTGGACAAGGAAGCAGCTCCACGACCTGCTCTGTCGCAACGGCCATTGTTGTTCTTCCTGCTCGGCTTGCCCCGCCGCTGTGGTGACCGAGTGATTCCACGTTCGAAGACGAGGGCACGTTCGATCCAAGTCCGATCCAGTGATTCGAGGGCAGCCGGAGAGTTGGAGAAGGAAGCGGGTGACCCCATGCCCCAGAATCGAACCGCTCCGCTCGCGCGAATCACGGAACCTCCGTTTTTCTTCATAAACGCTCCCCTCCTCCGGGACCATGAAATAAAATTGGTCTTAAAATAGGTTGAGATTGACTGACCTGGAGCGAGGAGAGAGTTCCATCCCGGCAAGAGGGAAGTTTTCAGAGTAGCGACACGTGGTCGATTCAAACCGTGTTTTGAGGTGACCGTTCCAAACTACCCCAAGGTGAAAGTGGGACGAGGCACGGGCCTCATTGAAAGAAACCTTTGGTATCGGGGCACTGTTTTAAAACTCCCCGTAGAGTCCTTAGATCGTCGCGGGATGTGACGCCTGACGCAGACAAAGCCGAATTACTGCCGTGAGTCCCCCTGCCTGAGGGCCCGGTCTCGCGGATTCAAGGAAGCCTTCGGTTTCTAGCGAACTCTTCGATGCTTCACCTGTCGACACCGTGCTTCGCGCAAGCTCCCTCGTCTAGTACGTCGTCGGGAGGACAAAGGGTCCCTCGAGGGTTCGGCCTGCCACGGAGGTCGAGTTTCCATCGAGTACTCGAGAAACTCCTCGAGCGGCGATTCCGTCTTTGGGTGTTTTCACACGATACATTTATGTATTTCTCCGCCCCAAGTGACGTGGTGTTCCACCGGATTTATGGCGTGATGGGCTTAGCGCAGTCTGTAGTACAATCAAACTATTCTCCCTAGAGTGCTTGTTCTCCGTCGGTGCTCGTATATCACCGTCGAGCGTATCGAAGTTGCTTCCGGGGGAGGTCAGAGCGCTCAACAAATCTCCGGTATAGTTCTCTCAAGAACTATAAATCGAACGCCACACATCTCACCCGCCTTCATTAAATCGGTCTGATGCGACTTCTCCCTTTCCAACGCCTGAGTCCGACCCCTCTCTGGGGAGGAGCTGTCGCGACCGAGGGAAACGGCTGTACAAGCCAACGAAGAGAAAAAGTGGAGATCAGAGAAGGAGAATCGAACACGAAAGAATATTATCGAGATTGGCCGTATACAGTTTTCTCGACCGGAATACATCGGATAAGTAGGAACACTTTAGGTTATTCTTCCGGGAGGTACTCCGTTCCGATGGCTGAGATCTAGGATTTACTGCTCCGCAGTCATGTCGTGATTCCGTCGCCAGGCCAGACCGGCACCACCGGGGATAGCCGGGGATTGAATCCCGTGGAGACAGTTTTTCACCGATGAGCTCGTGATGTAAGGAGGCAGCAGATTGGTTTCCGATATCCGGCTCAGATCCGCTGCTCAATAATCTTCATAGGTCGCTAATTCACATCAAGTCGCTGATTATTATTATCTCCATCGCCCCTCAATCACGAGCTCGGTCCGTCACCTCCCATGTCCCGGAATCGCAAGTATGGATGAGTAACGCCATCTTGGATGATATGAGGAATACTTTGCTCATTGGAAGTTTCGCTCCGGATCGCGATTGGGAACGCGGATCTCGTCACCGACCTCGACGACGTCATCATCGTCGAAACAAGAAGTCATTACGACGTTCGCGCTGTATAACCGGGGAGAAAACTCGGGAGCTTCGTTCCTTCTGCTCGGCCTCATTACTCGACTCGAGGCCGGGGTGACACCTGAAGTGCTTGTTAGAGGCAGACGTTGCCGCCAGGCCGGGACGAACGAAGGTACGAGGTCGCCGACTAAGACGATGAGAGATCTTCTCGAGGTGAGTGAGCCGCCTGTTTTCATGGGTTGTTCTCTCTCTTCCCGCGTCCTGACCATCTATCCGCGAGCTGACCAAGAGCCGTCCGGACAGGCCGCCGGACGGGCCGACCGACGCTGCTGCCATCGATGCGGAGGCCTTCATTAGGAAGTGGCCTAGCTCACAACGCAATGAGTGGAGCGGAACTGGCCACCGCTTCCGCTCACTCGTCGCATCGCACGTCTACACTGCCAGCCCATCCCAAGTCCGCTCATCTCACGCCGAACTACTCTAGGCCGGGAGGGGGCCCCGAACCGCGAGAGCCACGAACCGCCCACGGCAATGATCTCGATGATGTTGTCTCAATGACGCAATAATGCTGACCACGCGGACGATCATCGAGCTTTCAATGAAGCTGCGGTTGCGTGGTGACAACGCGGTTGGGCTCGCAATTCCCACGAAAACCATTGCGAAAGAGACATTCCGCATTCACCTGCGCCGAGTCGCAGTAAGCGCTCACGGGCACTTTTTACCAGCGTACGTGTGCGTTCTCCGAGGCAATCGCACCGGGAACGCAGGTTCCAGGGGAAACTATGAAAAATTCCAACCTCGACATCTATTGCTCCTTTCAATCTCT